GCGTTTCGTTATGCATCTTACTACCGTAAGCGTGCTCTCTCAACCTTTCTAATCACGACGAGGCTTTCAACGGAGGAATCAGGCAGTTACTTTCGAAAATACGTGTGTGACTTTACAAATTCTTTGACTTTGACTTGCTTTTAGAATCGGACTCTCTTCGTACGGATCATCGCGACACGTATATACGTGTATTGACAATACTTACTGCCCTGTGATCAATAATACCACACGTATCTGATTTCACGGAAGTGTCATGCACGAGATTGAACGTTATACCATTTTGCGATCAGGAATTTCACGACAGTAATGTGACACCTGTTGTCTTTTTTTTTTTTTTTTTTTTTTTTCAAACTTGAGCCATTGACCCGTTTAGACACGTGTCACTGTAAACTATTAACAAATATCGCGGCCGCCCTGATCGTTTGCATTTTCGACGATCGTATCATTCGATGGATGAATTGCACGACGAGGAACAATTCAAAATGTATTACTGATGGATGGATAGGTCAATCTTAGTTGAGGAAGCATATATCCTAGAGCTATGAATTTTTCTTTTTAGATAAATCCGTTCCTCGTAATTTTCTGCGTTTGGTGAATGCTGTTTTAGAACTTGTTTTACGAAAAACAAGGGATTGCCTTTTCGTTGCACCGACCTTAGGAAACACGCGACGTGTCTTACATTAAAGTTCGAGGACGGTACGCACAATACACTACCTGTTGGGTCGACCTGTATCATCGCATTTGCGTGTGTCGGCGGTGGCGCTCTCACAGGTCACGCACGATTCTGAAAATATAACGTAGCCTAGCCACGCGGTAATACGCGCGGAATATATACTTGTACGCCTAAGAGGGACGTTTTAATAAATCGGGCGACCGGAATGCACGGGAAAACGACACATTCGCGGTATACACGCGAGATCGTTTCACTCGGTATGAACGCTTTCGTGCACAAAAACACCACGTCTGAAGTTTAAAGGCAACCTTGCGCAGGTGAACGCAGCCAGGCCGTTTGCTGTACTGGCAGGTTGGCAGGTCACTCTCTTGTATACCGCCAAGACACACCGGCCAGGTGCATTCTCGCCCCGCTTGCCTGCTTTTCTACCTGAGCGAGAGCATTCGCTGTGGAGGACCGCATAGTGGCCTCTCGTCGAGCGTTACAGGTTATGTCACGTAATACACGCCCGCGATGACTTATTGGTTGAGGCTCGAGGTCGCGACGTCGACCGAGAATAGGTCAAACACGAGTGGTAAAAATTTGTATTAAAAAAATGTATATTACGACCCAGCGAATGTTTTTGTCTATTAACGGATAACAAAGAAATTGTGTTTACCTTGACTACCTGTCCCGCGTATGATTTTTCTTCTAGCTAAACTGAAATCCGATACTTATTGACGTGAAATGCTTTAAAAAAAAAAACATATTGTATACGTTATAAAGCAAGAGGTGAGAGGTTAGAAGATATTAAATCTCAATGATTTTAGTAATTAGAGATTTAGATCTCGTGGTAGAAGAAAAATAGTAAAAAAAAAATTACTTTAGCGATGTGTCACGTTCGAAGTGTATACTATAAAAAATAATGTTTTATAATCCCGAATCCTGTAATCCTGAATGTATTTTTCATTTCAAACGTACGTGCTTTAATTTCAAAATAAAAATAAATTCAAATTCTTGATGAACTGCAAATAATTATACTCGTAATCTTCGTGTAATTTCAATAGAAATGAAGCAATACGGCAATAATATTTTAATTTATTAAGAATATCAATACTATTTTTATCGATTGAATTAGTTTCGAACATGTTGACTTATAACCTTTCGAATGGTCATTTCAAGTCAGGCTAAAGATTTCTTGGAAGAGCATCAGCGAAGAAGAATAGTCATTCGAGAGTAATTATTTCTATACGACCGGACTTCACAGGTAAAGGTCGCTCGTGGGTCCGAAGGTTACCTCCTACCTACTCGATCGCCGTATCGACATAGATTTATCTTGTAATCCTACTTGCTGCATTAAAATTGCATTACTAATCGCACGTTATTCTTCTGTTTTTTGTTTATTCATAATCAATTTTTCGAATATTATGCGCATCGTTTTTCAAGAGAATTTATAATGACATAAATTAGCATATATTTTTAAAAATAAAGGGCAATATATAGCAACATTTTAGAGCATTTGAGCTCTCTCAAAGTTTTCGTTATTTTATTTATATTCTAAGATTCGCCTAACACGCGAGAAAAATATTTCCTTCCTGAAAAACACCCGTGAAGTTCGAATTAATCAGCGAATGCATATTAATTCTTGAACAAGACAAAAAGTTAATAGCCAAGTAGCATTGTTATCAGTAAAATTCATAATACAAAATTTCATAATGGCAGGTTCAAAATAGCATATGATCACTGTTATTATTTATTTACTAACAATCTGAGCGGAAAAATGAAAATATTTCACAGTATATAATTTAGTAAAAGAATGCGCACAGATTGATTCGATGTGGACGAGTCAACGTTCAAGATTTCATGCATTATCGACAAAAGGATAACAAGAAACTGAATGTTAAAAGATACGTAATTTATAAGGACTTACCTTTGTTATTAATAACGATGATAATTTTGACTACGCATCATTTGGACAGTTCATAAGAACAACTAGATTTCGTCAACCATTCGTGTGGGTTAGAGTTCATAACCTCTTCTAACCTTTACCTTTTCTTTACCTCTTTCCCCCCCGTGCCTAACCCCACCGCTCACCTTTATAGTCACCCGACAATGCATCTGCTGCCATCGATACGCGGTTGTATACAGATTCACGATGTATTGCGGAATTTGTACGTGGCGCCAAATTCTCGGTAAGTTTAAGAACTATTTTCAAAAACTGTCGCCATGATGGTAAAGGAAATTGTCATTGACTAACGATAGAATAGACCGAACATGAAATGGGAGTTTGTGTCTCAGAATCTGAAATACCGACCGAGGAAAAACGCACTCTATACTCATTGTCAGTCACAGACGAGATATTATTTAAAAATTCCCTTTGCTTGATGTGCATGCGATGGAAGTTTAATTAGTGATGTTGAACAATTGATAATTTTTGTTAATTTTTTAAAAAAATTTTTCTACTATACTAATCAATAATTTAATAATTTTTACATTTCGCAAGTTATAGCTGCATTTCCACGAAGTTTTTATTACGATGTTAAATATAATAATTTATTAATTTTTTACCGGTTAAAACTAAATTTACATTTTCATGATACTAATTTTTAAGTTACAACTGCATCGATATATATTAAATAAAAATTTATGTAGTCAGAAATCAAGTTAAGCAATGATCATCAGCTTCTGAATAATCGCGCAACATATAATTTTAAATTTTCGCTTATTTATTGTTTCAAAGAGCAAGAAACTATCTTTTCCATTATTGTAAAATAATTTAATTGTTATAAATGAATTATTCAAACTATAAAATAATATGTAAAAGTATAAGGGAATCACTGATACAATTATTATAATTAAATAGTTAATTAATAGTTAATTAAATAGTTAAAATTGTTAAATAATATACAAAAATATCATTCATTTAAAATAATTAAATTATTTCATTTCTATAACATTCCTAAACATTATTTAATTTTTACGTTTTTATTATAGTTAAAGAATTACATTTATTTCATTACGTTGTATTGCATATAAGGGTGACCTTTAAAACATGGGAAAAAAGCACTAGTTCGGTCTGTCCCAATTAGTCAATAATATAACTACAATTTACATTTCTTTATTATCCTGTCTAATATAAATTCAGTAAATTTCAAAAAATACAAACGTAATTTTAATAAGTTGCTTTGGCAGCAACAAATATGAAAATATTAAGCATAAATTCTTGGAAAAGAAATATTCACATACTGCAAAAAGTTATTTATTGCAAACAATTTTTCACACAATACATGTAATACATAAATTTGTTATACAAGTATTAAATAAGCGTGTTTAATATTGCCAATATTTATAATATTACTAATATCTATACTACTACAATTTCATTGTTATTGAAATATTCACTTATCTACGAATTAAGGATTTATTAATATTATATTTTTTATAGATACTTAAAAATATTTGTAGACAGCCAAATTATTTTTTTTTTACCAAAAAACCAAATTAAATTTTGACGTAAGTTAATTTATATCAAATTCTCCTAGCAAATCATAACTTATTATTTAAAAATAACTTTATATAATTATATTTTTAGAAGGTTATCTTGTTAATCCGTTTTGCAATCCGTGTAGTATAAAATCTTATTAATTCGTAAATCGATAAATGATATTCGCAATAAAATGTCGATAGTAATAAAAATAATAAAGTTGTGATTATCACTGGATTTTTAAGTCTTATAGAATTGTCTCATTGATACAATGATCATTATGTTCACACTTAGTTATAATGCCAGGTACTTTTGTTTCTTATTTAAATTACTTCTATAAAGATCAGAGATAAGTGTGCTTATAATTTTTCAAATTAACATAATTTAAGTTACAAATAT